GTGGCGCAGCGGTTGAGCGCTGGGTTGCGAAGCTGCCCGCGGCCTCTGCGGCACCAGTTCGATCCCCGGTTGCTCCCCAGCCACCAGAGGAGGGTCCCACATGGCGCGCAGACCTCTCCTGCCGCCCGCTGCTCCCCTCAGCAGTGTACTTCGGTCCTTCTGCCTGCTCTGCTCCCCACTCTGCCTCTGGTGAATTCTCTCACCCTCCCGCGCTTCTGACTGTACCCAGTGCATGTATAAACAAAACAAACAAACAAACAAACAAATAAATAAATAAAAAACATGCCTCTATTTAAAAAAAAAAAAAAGTCACTTGCAATTGTAACCTCACAACTCTAGACTGGGAGAAAGAGCAGGAGATAAGAGATGGATGTTCACTCCGGATTGACTCTGTTGAAAGCCCAGAACTATCTATGCTGCAAATACTTTCTCTGCCAGTGCTTTCTTTAGCAAAGATGGTTTTTCCCAAACCTTCCCTCCACCTGGACAATCTAACCTTTCAAGTTGGGTGTGAACTTCCTAAGACTAGAGTCTGTCTTTTATTTATCCTTCCAAGTTACAGAGTCAAGAACAAGATTATTCACAATAGATATTCAATAAATATTACTTGTTTGCATTTCTGAAGAATAGAGACTTTAATCCCAGGCTCTGGAACTTATGTCCTTGAAAAAGGGCTAACACAGGTGCCCAAAAATGCTTGTGCATGTTAAGTGTACAGGTATCTTCACTTTAAGAGTGAGAAGACAGAGATTTTCTTTCTCACTTTTTATTTAATATTTAATTTCTATATGTGTAGAAGAACTGAGATATAAGCCAGATTCACCAGAGACAGAATGGGGAGTGGAGCAGGCAGATCTACTGAAATACACCATTGAGGGGAGCAGCGGCAAGACAGGAGAGGTCTGCTGTGCCACATGGGTAAGCTCCCTGGCTGGGCATCGAAGTCAGGCCACAGTGGCTGGCAATAGCTTGACAGCGCTGAGACCTTACCCCTGCACCATCAGGGAGGCCCTATTTATTTTTTTCTTATATCATTGTAGTACCCATAGTTCTGCCACCACTGTATCACCCATAAACCATCACCATATTCCTTTGTGTTCACCACTCCTGTTTTGCCCCCCCTACCCTGCTCCCAGAGGAGATTTAAAAAATGACTGGGTGCTTAAAAAAAAGAAGTCTAGATACTTTTGCACTGTATTGAAAGTATCATTTGATTTCTGTACTTTAATCCTCATTAAGCAGAATTAGTGCTTCTAAAAATGTAAAAATGTAGACTGTGTTTGCTGTATGAAGCTAAACAGAACTTGAAATTTTTCATTACGGTATGTGACAGATTTGTGTTTGCAAAGTACTATCAGGATAGATCACTCTAACTTAAGAAGCTGAACCATCTTCCATCTTAAGTAGGTAAGCTGACCTCTGTATTTAACCACATTTATAATCAAAAGCAGAGCTATCAGACTGGGCAGTTTTACTCCTTAGTACCCAGGACTATACCCAGCAAGACAGTGAGAACAAGAAACAAGAAGAAACTGCTTCCTTTAGATGAAGCACAAATATTAAATCTTTACCACCTTTTGTGATACCCTTTGTAAACTAGCAGTGAATCAGAAAGTTTCAAATTATCCAGATTAAATAAAATCTAACAAATGTGCTAGAATTTTTTAAAAATTTATTTATGCATACAAGAGCTGGGGTACAAGCCAGAGGTGTGCGTGTGTGGGGAGGGGTGAGAGGACCCACCAGAGACAGAGTAGGGAACAGAACAGGCAGACTGACTGAAATACACTGCTGAGGGGAGCAGCAGGTGAGTCAGGAGGGGTCCGCTGCGACATGTGGGTAGCTCCCTGGCCAACGGGGGGATCAAATTCGTGCTGCAGTGGCTGCTGACAGCTTCATAGGCTGCGTCTTAACCCCTTGCGCCACCAGGGAGGCCCCCCCATGTGCTAGAATTATTTATGTCCAATTTTTAATCTCCAAAGTACTCACTCCACATGAGTCTATGAAAAGCTGCCGGATGACAAAGCGCTGATCTCACATCCAAATGGGGAAACTGAGGGAAGAGAGTGCAACTGTTTAAACAGAAAATCTTGGGCTTTCCCGGTGGCGCAGCGGATGGGCGCTGGGTTGCGAAGCTGCCCACAGCCTCTGCGGCATCGGTTCGATCCCCGGCTGCTCCCCTGCCACCGGAGGAGGGTCCCACATGGCGCGCAGACCTCTCCTGCCGCCCGCTGCTCCCCTCAGCAGTGTACTTGGGTCCTTCTGCCTGCTCTGCTCCCCGCTCTGGCTCTGGTGCATTCTCTCACCCTCCCACGCTTCTGACTGTACCCAGTACTTGTATAAATATATATATAAATAAATAAATGAAATAAACAGAAAATCTTGCAGAAAAGATATCAAAGTTATGTGCAATTTTTAGTTTCACAGTCTCCAGGAAGTCTTTTAATAGTTCCTGCTGAGCTCCCAATAAGTCAGATGATAGCAGGTATTCACCCTGTAAAAGGTAGTTTTGTAATCTTATAGTTTATAGACACAACATGGAAAAAAGAATCTTAAAATTTTAACAAGTTGTTAAATTTTTAAAAAAGATTTATTTATTTACTCATACAAGAACTGGGGTGTAGGCCAGAGGTACAGGGTGTGAAAGGATTCACCAGAGACAGAGTGGGGAGCAGAACAGGTGGATCGACTGAAATACACTGCTGAGGGGAGCAGCGGGCAAGACAGGACAGGTCTGCTGTGCCATGTGGATCAGTGCCCTGGCCAGGGATCAAACTCATGCCACAGTGTCTGGCTATAGCTTGACAGCACTGAGACTTAACCCCTACATCACCAGGGAGGTCCACAGGTTGATAAATTTTTGCCAAATATGTGTTCAGAGAATAGTTAAATAGCCCCACGTCAAGTGCAGGAGGAACAACAGAGGCCGGACTTCTCTGATGCCTCTCTGGACTTAGATTCACTCACCAGGCAATAGGTCCTCTAACCCGATACAGAAGCTTGACTTTCAAGTTTGAAGAACACCAGATACTTAGGAGACAAGGTCATTTAGAATGTGCATGCCATTCTAGGTACACAACTACAAGGTGTTATTCTGAAACAAGTCTAGATGAGAGTGCTGAGTTTGTTTCCTGACCCTGGTTGCTTAATCACATGCTTTGCTGATGTACTGGTTCACAGACTTATTTATTTGCTTGTTTATTTATTTATTTATTTGGCTCTACAGTGCCTCAAAGTTTACTGCTGGGTTTAAACATTAAGACATTTATAAACTTATATTCTTGCTATATAATGAGAAGACTGATTTACATTAGAGTGTAGTAAAAACTGTAGAGAAGACTTATATGAAACATGGAGCAGGCACTTAAAAGTTATGAATGCAAATAATGAAAGGCCTCCCTGGTGACCTAGGAGTTCAGTCTCCAGTGCTATCACCGCTGTGGACTGAGTTTGATCACCAGAGAGAGTGGGGAGCAGAACAGTCAGATCTACTGAAATACACTGCTAAGGGGAGCAGCAGGCAAGACAGGAGAGGTCTGCTGCACCTGCTGTGGGTCAGCTACCTGGCAGGGGATTGAACTCGTGCTGCAGTGGCTGTGGATTGCCTTATAGTGCTGTGTCTTTTTTTTTTTTTTTTTAAAGATTTATTTATTTATTTGTTTATACAAACACTGGATACAGTCAGAAGCGCGGGAGGGTGAGAGAATTCACCAGT